TTGTATATACATGCACTATACATATTCGAGCATGCAGTCCCAAATTTTAATTTACCTTTAATATTTTGCTTCATTTTTGTTTTTGACTCGTACCAATAAACTATCGTTTAATTACTTTGTTCGCATCTTTAAGTAATAAACAGAATGTCGTTCTTACAATATTAATGATATTGATACATTGCCATTAATAATATTGTCTTTATTAATATGAAAATTTATTTCATTTATTCTCTTTCGAGAGAATCCTAATTTCCTTCCAATAAGTTTCAAATAACAGTTGTTTCCTTTGAGTAATATACATTGACTATTACTTCTAGCACATGTATTTAAAAAGTTAAAAATATGGAGGATCGTTCGTATGTTTCCTGTATCAAGATTAATGGAGTTCCTATTTTACCGCCAATGGTATGCACATCAATTATATCATGTTATACATAATTATTATTTTAAATTAACTTTACAATAAATCTGTCTTTTTCAGATAACTAAAGATATTAAACAAGAAATATCTATTTACAGAGAAAGTGCAATAAACGTAGAAAAGAAATTGTACATTTCACGTATTGGTAAACAATGTAATAGCAATATAGGAGAAATTGCAGGAGAATTAAAGGATGCAAAATATAAAAAAAATGTTCATGGTTCAAGAGAGAATTCAAGAGAGACTACTTTTGAATACGAAGATAATAATTATAATGAAACTAATGTTACAGATACAAGTGACATTCCAATTGAAACTTTCAAAAAGTTTTCTAATGAAAATTTAGAGAAATCTTTGCAGTCTGGCAAAGATTCAGACTTGAGATGTAAGCCTAAAAATCAGTTAAATTTAACTCCTGATACTGTTTCAAGATCAAAATCAAGCCCCAATATGGATCACTTGAACGAAGCAGCTTCAATAATATCTAGTACAGAAACAATATCAGATGTTTGGAAACCAGAAGTGCCTAAGACATTAAATGTTATTCCACTGACACTGAATAATGTTACCTACAATGGAAATGAATATTTTCCAGAGAGTAATTTAGATGATACAAGAGACACTCCTAAACTAGTACGTCAAGGTTCCTACGTGTTAGATACTCCAAGTCCAATATTATTGGCACACATGCAAATGGAGTTGGCTAATTCAACTTATGTTCCATGTTCAGAATATGTTCCAACATTGTGCGGAAATGCGAATCGACGCAAAGAATGGAATGTCGTACAAGCTAAAATTGAATGGGAGTATGAAACCAAAAGCAAAGAATCTGTTTCTACGAGAAACGCTGATTCCAATGTTGATCGCAAAATGTGCAAATCCATTTCCATACAAGCAAAATCTCCTGAATCTTCCATTGTAATAACTCCGTCGACAAAATCTGTCGATTGTATTCAAACAATGTTAGCCAAAGAGCATATTGATAATGGCGATATACAAGTTGATCAAGATAAAAAACATGTTGCGGATAATAATAATGAGAACGAACAAAGACTACAACCATGGAACAAATGTGACAACAGTTCCTGCACTTTTAATCCAGTATGTAAACTTGGCCGTTCTTTAGAAAATCTAAACGAGCAAAACAACATCTCTACGACTGATAAATTAATGGAAAAACTTTCGAGAAACACGGATATACAAAACTCTATTTCCAAACTGAAGTCTACTGCCGCGTCTGATAAACTTTTAACAGTTTACAAGAAGGTACAGGAAATGCACAAGAAGCAAATGGCTGAATTAATGTTTCGCCAGCACAGAGAGCAAACGTTACTTCAAAAAGAATTTGAAAAGCAACAGTTTCTTTTGCTAACTGAGATCAAAAAGTCCTTTCCAGAAATTTCAGTTTCTTTGCTTTCTGAGAATACCCTGTCTCCTGTTTCAATTGCTACTGATAACGACAAGTTTTTTGAGAATGACAATGTGCAAAACGTTGCAAGATTGAGAAATAATTTAGAGCAAGAGAATGGAATTGAACATTCGCAAGATAATAATATAGAAATAGCAACATGTCCGTTGAATTATATTTATCCTGAAATGAATTATGATAATATTCCTTGTTCTACTAGACATTCACGTACGGCTCGGTCAATGGAGACCAAACTATCGTCTGATGTTGATAATTCTGTAACGAACATGAGAGGAAGAGACACTGAGATGCAATTAAACGACGTAGAAAATTATAAAGAAAGATCATTAAAAGAAAGTGAAACGAATAAACGTTCAAACGTTAGTCGAGAATTATTTCCTTTGGATAGCAAAACTATGCATGTACCGATCCCTGATAGGACAATATATGAGACTAAACACGTAGGCATTGATACATGTTCTGTATTTGGATTTTTATTTGAAGAGCAATGAAGATTCTGAAATTATTTTTGTATTACAGATTAAAGCAGTAAATGTAATAAACGCATACGCAAGAGGCTATCTAGTTCGTAGAATGATGCGAACTGAACGTGTGATTGCTTTAAAAAACACGTATAAAGAAGCTTTGCATTGCATGCTTAAACTTCACGTTGATGCACCTCTTAATCGTTCAGAATTTAATTTCTTACATCGGCTTCAGTTACAGGTAACGTTACCTGTTTGTACATATTTAAGCATTTAACAAGAAGATATCATTTAATATAATCTCTTTTATAACGTTAAAGAATTTATCATCTCCCACCGTCGCAGAATTTAAAGAAAAAAATTTTTCCTTTTCTTTCACTTGTATTATTCGATGGTGATTAGATCTAAAAATTAGATGACGAGCAAACATGACGTTTGTTTTTATCTGCGTTATTTTAGTATAAAGTTATAAAATTATATTTTGAAAATAAAAAATATTCATCAGAATTTTGTAATTTTCAAAAGTGCGACGCAGCCTCTATGAATATAGTGGAGTTGTTCGCCCAAAATCCCCAGAAAAGAATGCAAGTAGTAGCGCAAGATCGTGAAATTAAACAATCTCGCATAGAACGTCCAACATCAGCAAGATCTTATTCGTTTGCAACTCAGCGGACTTTAGCCAGGAAAAAACTAAAGGAGTATGACTCTGCATAGTAAAATTTACTTTGTTTTTTTTCTCTTTTTTTTTCTTTTTTTTTTTACAGAAATTTTTCTACGAATTCTTTGAATGTAGAATGTTATGTTATTGAAAAATAAATTGTCTCATTATTTGCTATTACACACTTGTGTTAAATGAATTTGCTTTATCAACATATAGATATTCTTCAAATTCAAGCTTTTTTTTTTATAACAAATAGAGGTTCTGAAATAATCAATATTTTTATATTAATATACCCTACGCTGTTGTTCAAACTGCCAGACAACAATAATACAAAAGTTTTCAATTGTTTATCGTTTTTCTGCTGATAGGATGGAAGAATACCAACCAACTTCGTTCGTTCGTTCATGTTCGTCTAGATCTAGATGTCAAACATGGACCTCGGATATTAAGGAGAGGCTCATTTCCTCAAACATATTATGTAAGTCGTTACTGTTTCTAATGGTTTATATTCGCTTAGATTTGTATTTTCGTTGCAATCTCGAGTTCGATATTTATCGTTACGATTGACACGATTGCTTCATCGATAATTTGTGATTTGCAGATCAGACCATCAAAAGAAGTACCAGCGCAGGGACTGTGCGAAAACCATGGCGGTAAAATAATACGATAGTGCCTTCTATTATTGATTTAATGATGTGTACATTGCGTTAAAAATATGTAAACGAAATCCACGTTGTGCCTGAATTTTTTAATAAATTTATTTTATACGAGACTGACTTTCGTGTTCGCATGGATCGTTTAAGCGGTAAACATTACGAGTTCAATGAAACGTGAGATTTAAATGTAAAATTAAATTACGAACGGGCAGGAAGGAGAACGAATTTTGTTCGGTAAATCGATAATCGAGAAGTACGAGTGATAATATTTTATAGGAAATTTGAGTCGTTCAACTGCTGGTGCGCGCACGTATACGCAGGCGCGTGCGCGCACGTACAGTCTCGCTCTATGACGGGCGAATACATTACACCAGTGTGCAACAATCGGGAGAATATTTTGGCTTATTTCGTGACAAGTTTCACGTGGAAAATTAAATCGTAGCAGCTTGTTTTCAGAATAATTATGCTTGCAACAATTGTGATTGAGTACTAACGAGAGAACCATGTGTGACAATGTGAATAACAATCCATTCGCTGGGTTGTTTTCAACTATCAACGATGCCGTGTCATTCTCCTCTCAGAGTCAGGCAATTATCAACGAAAGTAACAGAGTTAGTTATGTTACGCAACTCGACGACCAAAACATTGACAATGCTGTGGGGGCGAAACATTTTCAAAGTTCCAAAGAGTCGAGAATCGACGATCAGGTTAATCGTCTTATCGGCGATGTGCTTGGAATAACATTGCACAGGTCAGAAGCAAATGTGCACCAGAAACAGAGATTGGTTTTCGTCAATGTCGACACAACCGAGCAAGCAATTTTTGAACGGTTAATGTCATCTGACCTCGAGTCCAAATTAATACCAACAGAAGATTCTCAGCAGATTTTCACCGATCCCCATACAACGGAGAAGCAAGTAATACCTTATCTGTTTGAGAGTTATTGTCGATTGCAACAGTATCAAAACGAGTCCCAATTGTCTGATGTCCTTTGTAAAATAAGTCAGGTTATATTGCAAAATGCAAGCGTTGCACTACAGGAGCCAGAATTGTTTGAAGAGCAAGAGGTACATCAATGTTCAGCTACTCGTGCTTTACAAAATTCAAGATATCGAAACACTGAGCCGACTGATGTTGTTTAATAACTTTTTTGTTTTTTTGCAGATTCACAAGCAGTTTGTTACATTATGTATAGATGAAACTGGGCCCAAGCAAGAATTTATACTATTTGTGAACGGTATTGTGTCGGAATTACAAAATGAAAATGAAAAGAAAGCTATAGACGCGATAGCTGCATCTTTCAATCCTATTCTTGATATTATTTACAAAGAAGCAGCACAAAGTAATCTCGTTCTTTTCCGTCAATATTGGTTTACTATATTAAATCTTTTTTCCTCGATAGAGCCCTTAGCCAAATTAGTTATTGATCATAGCACTCCTAGAAACAATGAAGGCCGAGCATACGCAGATACATTATTAGGCGCGCTTTTCAGTTTAAGCTGTTTGCCAAAAACAATAGAAGAGCCGTTCTATTTTTTTGAGAAACCACTGCAACAGGCAAGTACTGTGGAAAAGTAAAAAAAAGAGATGAATTACATGTAGTACAATGTTTATATATATTTCGTATCATAGACTTCGGCTACTGTTGAAGGAAATATTTGGACAGCCTTAGATGCATTAAACGAGTCATTGCAAAAGGTCTTTCACTTATTGTTAAAATGTTCAAAGGAGGTTCGTCGTTTAACTTTACAATGGATAGGCAATTGTCTTCATTCTAATGCAGATAGAGGAAAAATTTGGAATGCTCAGAACGATGTTAGTTTCAGCTCAATATTGTGTGTCTCTGATGGTTTTATGTTGAATTTAGGAAATATGCTATTGCGTCTTTGTCAACCATTTTGCATTAAACAAAACGATTCCAAAGTGCCTAAAATTGATCCAACGTACTGTGCTGTAGATGTGAGTTTACAAAAAGAAGGATGTTATTAACTTGTAATAATTAAGATCGTTAGCTTAGATTTAACAATATTTTTAACAATATTAGAATTTTAACAATATTTTAATAAAAATATTAATCGTTTAGATTAATGATCAAGATGAATGTGCAAATCCAAATATACATTTAAAAGGGATGTCCTCGGAAACTTGTTTGATACCAATGTCAGAAGGTGGTGCAAGACCTGTTGCAAAAACATTTGGATTTACTACCGAATGCTTCTTTTTAACTCATAGAGCGTTAGACCTTGGATATAGAGTAGTATTAGACAAACTTTTAAGGTTCGGCTTTCAAATTTTTCTGCCTTTTCAATTAATATTTCTAATAAAAGAGTTAATAATCAAAATAATTATATTTTAAACTTCAGAACAAACCAGGATTTAGTAAGAATACAAAGAGTGTATCAAGATGCACAGAATGATGGTAGATCTGAAGTATTTGAAATAATAACGCAACGCATGGAAGAAGAAATGACCAAGTATATATTTGTAACTCATAAGAATAAAAGAAAAATGTTTTCTTTTCCGTCACGTAAAATATTTGTTTCATATACGTGCAATTATCATTATAATTACAATTTATATCTTGAATTTCAGATATTTGTCTCTAAGAGCAAGCCTTCTAGTACCAGAAATGTTGAAACTCTTAGCAAAATTTCACGCAACAACAGCGTTTTGGTTGGTACAAGTATACTTGAATGATATAAAGATTGGAGAAAATGCAGAAAACGATTACATTCCAAAGGAATGTAAAGAGGTGACGTTCCCTTTGCCAGAAACTGTTCCAGATACTCTGAGGTACTTTTTAAATATTTTGTTTTTTTCGACTATATTAACAACTGTATTAATAATTGATGTTTAACAATAACTTTATTTACTACATAGATGCATTCCTGAATTCGTAGTAGAAAATACTATTAGATTTTTGTATTTATTACGCCGTTTAAATCCAAATGTTTTTGAAGAACAAGGGCCATCCTTCCTGACACCAATGTTAACGGAGGTAAGCTAATAAAAATACATTAAAAAAGTAAAGATATGTGCAATTCAGTACAATAATTGTCTATACGACGCCAGATCATAGTATTAATGGAGTCTCAACAACGTTTATATAATCCTCATTTACGTGCTCGTTTGGCGGAAGGCTTAGAGGCTCTTTTACCTACAAGCGATGAAACTATGAACCCTGTAACACCAAGCTTAGGAACATTCCATAGAGAACAATTATTTATTACACATCCATATAGACAATATGTATGTAATACGGTTCCTGAACTAGAATATTTCTTTTTTCTCGTGGAATATCTCTTTATTTTATCATGCGTTGTACATTTAGATTGTTCCGAATTTACTTAAAGTATTTGTGAGCATTGAAATGACTGGGCAAAGTGTGCAATTTGAACAAAAGTTTAATTATCGGAGACCAATGTATGTCGTTATGGAGTATTTGTGGAAATTACCAGAACATCGTAATAATTTCATGTAAGCAAAGAACAAAGATAATATATTTTCACAGTTTTAACGCTTATACTATTTACATATATTATTTACGTTTTATAAGGATAGTACAATTTATATTAAACGAACAATTGTTACATAACAATAATTGTTATATAACACATTGTTATATAATAATAATTTAGTCGGAATAATTCTATAATTTAATATTTATTTATATAGTTCTTTGGCAGAAGAAGCAGAAGCCAATATGGAAGCAGCTCAACCTCCATTATTTTTGCGTTTTATAAATCTTTTAATGAACGATGCAGTTTTCCTATTAGACGAGGCACTTTCAAGCATGGCTCAGTTAAAACAACTGATTCAAGCAAGGTATTCAATTTGAGTGTTAATTCGTTAAAACAATTATGCAATTCTAGTTTACAAGCTTTTATAGATTTTATATTTAATAAATGAGCTTGATGAAATATAATTTCAATCAAAAGGGAGAGTGGTGAATGGAACAAGTTACCACAACATGAACATGATCAACAGGCTCATTATCTCTTACATCTTGGAATGATTGCTCGATTTGACAACATATTGGGCAGGAAAACTATATACACATTAAAAATGTTAACTACAGAAATAAAATCCATCTTTTGTCATCCAACAATGGTGGATCGTATTGCTTCGATGCTTAATTATTTGTTGCTCCAATTGGTTGGGCCAAATAAAAAAAATTTGAAGGTGACAATTAAAATTTAATTATTAAATATTTTTATCTCTAAACCCTACGATAAATTAAATTGATCGTTTAAATTTTAGGTTAGTGGTCAGAAAGAATATGCGTTCAATCCAGCAAATTTAGTACTAAATATATGCGAAATTTATATAAATCTTAGTCAAAATGAATCTTTTACGCTTGCTGTTTCACAAGACGGCCGTTCATACAGTCCAGAACTTTTCAAGTTGGCTGATAATGTTCTTGGTATGTATTTACATATTATTATCGTTAGAATATAAGAGTTGGAATACACCTCATATATCATATTTATAAAATGAAATTTCAGTTCGTATTGGTGGCGTGGGTATATTAGGCGATTTAGATCAATTTGCAAAAAATGTCGAGGCAGCTGCAAGTCATAAAAAGGAGGAAGACGAAATTTTAATCGATGCTCCCGATGAATTTCTTGATCCAATTATGTCTACTTTAATGATAGATCCTGTTGTTCTCCCATCGTCAAGGATAACTATAGATCGCCAAACCATCGCAAGGTTAATATTTCTTTGCTATTTTTTACGATTTTTAAAATACAGTGTATTTGATTCTGTATTTCTATTATTAATTCTGTTTAGGCACTTGTTAAGCGATCAGACCGATCCATTTAATCGATCTCCTCTTACCATGGACATGGTAAAATCAGATGTTGAACTTCAGCGTAGGATACAAGAATGGATACAACAAAAAAAGGAGGAGAAAACGAGGAGTTGCAATTTGATTACCAAAGAATGAAACATAATCAGTAAATTACAAAGTATAATTTTCACGTCTGATACTTTTCAAATGCTTTAATGAAAATTTAATTTTCATAATTTCAGGTAATGAGTGTGAGAAAATATGATCAATGGCAATCTCGATGTTTTACGTTATTTGATTTAAATTTCGTTGTTTCATAATTTACAGAGAGAAGTATATATTTTTCTATATGATCCTCGTAGATATGTACAGATACGAATTATGTGCTGTAATTATCATCATCCTGTAAGATTTTTAATATTGCATTTTATGCAAAAAATTGTCTCATAACAGCGTACGTAACAATATAAGCATAGAGTTAAACGTTGTTGTTATTATATAATATTACACGTTATCAAATTTCGTTCGTTCAGTTCGAACGCAGCAAATATTATTGACAAATTTGGAATAAAGATAACTTGTCTGTCATTCGAACAAACTTATATATATTGTGTAATAGTATCATATTTTATTGATATACATCGCGATTGATATAGGTTTGATTGACGTCAATTTTTTTAACAGAGTACTAATAAAAAATTAGTACTAGTAAAAGTACTTTGATTCTCTATTGCTTGGTTGTTAAAATTTTTCAAGTGTCACAATATTTATAAGCATTATATTGTTTACAGAATAGTGACAAGTTCATTAAAATCAGTAACATACCACAATGATTGTTGTTTGACATTCTCTCTGATTACATTTCCACCGTATCCTGCATGTTATGAAAATGATATTAAATAATATTAAAACAAACTAAGAGTTGAGATAATTAAAAGACACACCTATGAACAAATCTGCTACTGAAGTAGTTTCTAAATCCGTCACTCCATCACCAATATGAACAACAGTCTTTATTCCTTTTTCATTTTTGAGATGTTCAATTACTTTTGCTTTACCACCATTTGCCGCGGTAGGTTGATCTTCGTCAAAACCTGCATATTCCCCTGCAAATGACTTCATAAAATATCTAGATATGTTATATCAAATTGTTCTTATACCGCGGTATAAATAAACAACAACCTGTGTAATAGAATTTAAGTCTGTTCGCGAAAACATTTTCTAATGGAATGTCAAGAAATGCGGCAACCGGTGCAATTAAAGAACGAAATCCGCCCGATATTAAAAACACCTGCTTTCCACGAGTTTGTAGAGCTGTCGTCAAAGTTCTGAAATTTCCGCAAACAATGTTCAATTGTGATGATTCTTGCCAACTTAAAAATATTATTTCCTACTTGATTCCAGGCGAGAGTTTCAACGGGCGGGAAGCCAGGAATTGTTTTATCTGTGTAAAGCTTGGTTTTATAATGTTCAACCTTTCCATCAAGGACTGTCGAAACGTCAGATCTCCCTGCATTGCCCGATTTGTTCTGAAAGTCATTTTCAACGATGTACATACGTACGCATACACGTACATTGTTTACGTCAGAGCGATCACCCGCAGATAATGAAAGGAGATGTTTCTCAAAGTTGAAAGTATAAAAGTTTAAGAAAGGGATAGCAACTCACAGGGCAAGTACGTCGTTTTCTTTTTTACAAAATTTCGCAAGTTCGTCGATTCCTTCTTCCTGTATCACGGTCGAATCTACGTCGAAAGTGACGGCATCCACATTCTTCCATATCAATTGTAATTTATCTAGATTGGCCATTTATTCCGTACAACTCGGTAAATAATTCACCAGAATTACAAAGTTTCACCGTCACTACGTATCAAACTGTATTAATAATCAGAACTTGTCTTTTTCTAAAAGTTGTAAAACATTAAACAGAATATCTACACATGTGTAACTTATACGTACACGTGTGTGTGTGTGTGTGTAATTATTTACTTATTGTATATACGTACATGTTTCATTACTGACAGCAAATATATACGAAGTTTATTGCGATTTTTATTTACAAAATTCTTTATTTGCAGAATGATACATTATTAGAATCATATATATGTATTTTTAGAAAATTACGAATGGCTTTTAAAGTTAAACGTCATTTAGCTTATTGCATTGTAACATTACCACAGAGTGATTATCACGTTATGAAAAATTCTTGTGAAAGGAGGAATAATGTCGCGTTATATAAATCATTATATAATGAAATAGATAATGCCTGTTTAAGAATTGAACGTCTTTGATTCAATTACAAGATAACAATAAGAAACCAGAACGAGAAAAATATTCAGAGAAGAGCTGGATTTTAAAGAAACAATTCTTTTGCGTTTAAACAGATACAATATACAGATTTATATAATCGTTCCAAATACTAGGAAAATTAATCAAAACGAACGAAACAAAGTGCCCATGGAATATTATATGGAGTGTTCCTTCGCTTATATTTACGTTTTTGAATTCGGGTTTCGACCGGGTGACGAGAAATTCAACATTATTTGAGTGTACATTTTGATCTAATGAATAGAATTTGTAAATTTGTATCATAGACGAGGTACATGAATAGATCTAACACGCAATGTATTTTTTGTTCCAAGTTCGTGAGAGCCTAAGACTGATTACCATTTTCGTGTCGCATTCTGTCGTACCGATTTAGCTAGGTTTTGCACCATAACGCTACTAGTGATGGGAATTAGAATCAAAAAATACTGACAATGTAGGCACATCTGCTTCGAAAATTATTTATTGAATTCACACATGAGATATACGCATGTCATAGATTGTACTTCGCACATATGGCGGAAGGTACAGACAAAATATACTTCGTCTGTGGTGGAAGACGTTGCCACCTACAGGTGGCTAAAACTGTTTTACTTCGCCCCGGTAGATGGCAGAATATCCTTCATCCTATGCAGGTTTACTCCTTTAAATAAATATTTTACGAGGTTTAACAAAAAACTATAACAATAACTATTTATGAATATTAATGTATAACAAGATTTTCTAACGATCGTTTGCTGTGATCAATTATTAACAACTGAAAATACTTTCTGCTATCTCATTTTCTTCTTTTTTCATTTTAAATCAGCATCGCCGCTGTTAAACTCGCTTTTAAAAATACGCGCGCCAGTCCGTGTAATGGGCGCGTACTTTTCAAATGATCGGAAGAGCAAAGAAGATATACCGATCGTCATTAGATCAATCATATCAATATATATTCTACGTATAAATCGTTATAATTAAAATAAATAGATTCGTACAATTATGTTTCTGTCCAAACAGAAAAATTATAGTTATATCATAATAACAGTTATATCGACAGGTTTTAAAATAATAAAATTATATAATTATTTACAAAACTTCTATAATGACAGTTCTGATAAATAATACATATTTCTTACAGGTCGTTTCAAATATCCCGCTGGAAATGTGTCCAATACGCAGGACACGAAAGAGCAGCGTACGTCAGATCTACCCCGCGTTAGTCGATGCGTGTGCACATGAACGTGAGTAAAACGTACGATCTTAGCAAAGTACGAGAGCGCTATCTCCGCAACAGCGATTAACTTGTCGATTCACTGTAGCGATCAAAGTTGAGAAACCGTGCGAAAAAATGCGAAACGATTGTGAAACGCGATTCGATCTTGCTCCAGTGTGATCGTTTTGTTTTTAAATATTTTTCGTTCCAACGATCATCGATAGCGTTTCGTCGACGAGCTCGTACCTGGGTTGGGGGGAAAAGGGGGAAGAATCGTGAGGTGGTTGAGCTTGATAACCTCGATTTCAGATTTTCGTACGCGACCAAGAAAATTCAAATTCGACTGGATTCACTGTTGACAATAAACGAGGCAAAATGTCTGAAAATTATGAGGAGATCGTCGAGGAGGAAAATTCACTTACAATGTTAGACGTGCTCCGGGAAGAGAATCAATTGGAGGAGGACGCGTACGCGGTTTTGGGTGCATCCGATGATAAAAATTGCACCTACAGCAAGGTTTGTTGTACCATTGTACAGACAAGTAACAGACAGGTTATGTCTGCCCAAAGGATGTATCTATTTGACATTTTCATTTTCAGGGTTACACACGACAGGCTCTCTACGCGTGCAAAACCTGTTGCGAGAAGTCAGTACGTGCCGGGGTTTGCCTTGCCTGCAGTTTTCATTGTCACGAGGGTCACGAGCTCATCGAACTGTACACTAAGAGACATTTTAGATGCGACTGTGGCAATTCAAAGTTTGGAGGAAAGAAGTGTAATCTGGATCCTGTATGTTTCTAGGTACTCTCTCTCTCTCTTTTTTTGCCTGTATTGTTACACTTTGCATTGCTTCTTACAGTCAAAGGATTCGACAAATATAGAGAACCAATATAATCATAATTTCGATGGCCTTTATTGCATTTGTCAAAGACCTTATCCGGATCCAGACGATACGGTTAATGATGAAATGTTACAGTGTATAATCTGCGAGGACTGGTATCACTCGAAGGTAAGATATTCACATGTTAATTGACATGTCTGTGGACTAATTGCGATGAATATTGCTAGCATTTAGAATGTGAAAAGGAAATACCAACAGATAGTGGATACGACGAAATGATTTGCGCTGGTTGTATGAAAAAGAATGACTTCCTTTGGAATTATGCCAAGAAATATACAGGTAACTCGGAATTTTTTTATAATTATGTTTATATATACATATATATATGTTATTTATTATATATATTGTTTCATACATGTACATGTGCAATTATATTATACAATTATATGTAATTATGAGTAACTTTGGTTCAGATATATATTAAATTCATTAATTATACACATATAACATATGTATAATATATGAGCAATTTTGATATAGTTTAATATAGTTTTGCATTTGCACAATTGTAGCTTTTACCGCGACCGAGATCTCCGCCGGTGATAAAGAAGATGAATCGATCGATGTGAAAAATATACCAAAAAGTTGCACAATGCCAAGAAATAATCCCGCAAAACGAATAGTGTCAGAAGGAAGTTGTTTTTTGATGGAAGGATGGAGATCCGCTCTGTGTACTTGTGAAACGTGCAAAGAGGTAAACTCCCTTTTTTTTTGAAACGAATCCTTGGCTCTTGGTATTTACGAATTTACGAAAATTTTTGTCCTCGTAGCTGTACCGAGAGAAACACGTGGCGTTTCTTCTCGATCCAACGGATAGTGTACACGCATACGAGGAAGCCGGCAAAATAAATAGTCGAGAGTCACAGTACGAAAAGGGTATGAAAGCCCTTGCCTCTTTAGGCCGTGTCGAACAATTGACAGCTATCGAAGGTAACTGTGATCTAAAAATTTTCTCGAGTGATTTAATAGTCTCGTTTATTTCACATCTACATTCACTTGTATACATATGTACTGTTAACAGAATACAATAATATGAAGGAACGGTTGAAACAATATTTGCAAAAGTTCGCTGAAAACAAGAAAGTCGTGCGAGAAGAAGATATAAAGGAGTTCTTCTCGGAAATGGAATCAAAGAAGCGGCCAAAAGTAGTAATACCTACGTATTGTCGTTGAAATGCATTATTTGAGTATTATAAGAACTTGTGGTTTCTAAGAAGACAGAAACAAAAGGATCGATGTATTTCTATATTATTGCAAGCCATGTTTTACTTTTATATATTTCGTTCACTTGTAAAACTTAATCGCGTGATATTAATCTCTCGGATCTGATAGAATTCCAATAAATTGATAGCTTCCAATAAATACTGTTTTTTCGATATTAAGTAAGAAAAACAAGAGGAAGGAAGAGGAACGAAAGGGAAGAATAAAGAGTATCTTGTTATTTTTGGAAAACCTTTGACGAGAATATTTTGATGCTCGTCGCGTTCATGTTGCCAGGGAAAAGCAAACAATTTGTCAAGCTGCAGTATGGTACTGTCGAATGGAAATATTATGTCTTGTTAAAAGGAACTTTTGACGCGGTGAAATGGGCATGGATGCTGTGCGAAATAAAAAGAAGGAAAGGAAAAGGCAGGATCAACTGGCAGGCGATTTCGTGTCTTACAAATCGAAAGAAAAAAATTATATTATCGAGGACGAAGAAACATCGGCCAAGTTACATAGCAGGAACTGTCGAGTCGAGGTGTAATTGCAACGGTATCACCAAAATTGGTTCCGTAGAATTTGGTTTGTCCGTGTAAATAGACCATGTTTTTTCAATGCAGTCAAAAATACCTAAATTTTTACAATCGTTTGATCACTCGATGGATGATAACGATTTAATCGAGTTAGACAGAAAGAAGAACAAGAAAGAGGTAAATCGTGTAAAACCTACCGGTTGCTATAGTTTTCACATAATCGTCTTTATTTTTCTCTTGATAAACTCTGTAGTCGTCGCCTGTTTGGTCGCTTAGAATGTTTACAACGTCTTGGCGAGATTTGGGAGGAGGGTGGCTACAAATGGTAGCCATTCTTTTGTCGCTGCTATTTATAATGAGACCCTCGACTTCCGGTATTTTCAATCGAAGGTACCTGAAAGAGGCGAGGAGAAAGAAATAAGGGAACATTCGGAAATCGGCAACAGGAGACGGTAAATCGGTGAGAAAAACGTTTAGAAGAAATAAAGTTACTTGTTGCAGTGAAACGTATTCTCTCCAGGGCTAACGGTCAATATGCTTAATTGCGATTGCGTGCCGTTGATCTCGCAAGGACCGACCTCGGCATTATGAAACATTCTATCCCCCTCTTGCGTTAGAAAAGTCATATTTACCGAAAACCCTTCTGCCGCGCCGAAACCTTCGTTTCTTAAAATTTGTTGAGCTTGCACGTAGTTCTCCGCAGTTAACAATGCTCGGGTCAGAAAGTATCTGGCTGTGTTCCGTTCCATTTACGAACGATAGAACGAGAGAGGGGCGGAGAGGAGAGACAGAGAAAGAGACAGAGAGGATCGAAAGCAAATACAAGAAAAATTATCAAAACGTGAACGTAATATGACTGTATCTCTTGGGTTGGTCAAAAAGCAATTGCGTTTTTTTTTTCCAATAAATGTATGTATCTTAAAGCGTAACTACCTCCGTTTCAAATTGCAAATTGATATTGTGTAATCCGATATCTAATAGTTTAAGCTTGTTTTAGAAAAAAAATGCACGATCGTTTGCCCGTCGATTCGAGAATGGAAGATTAAAGACGAATCTTTTTGTGGTCATATTTTGCTGTGCTATTTCTGAAAACGAAAAAAAAAAAATGCTGTGTGCTCGTCAAAAATTATCCGACGGTGAAGAAGCACCTTTAAACTACAGTAGCGTCGGAATTGGTTTGCTAAATTTTACTGTTGATGAGGAGAACTTTTTCTTGCACAGACACACACACACACACA